CAAGCTGGTTATAAAAATCTTGGTCAATCAAGTGAAATGTAAACATATCTGATTAAACGTGATTCTAACGAGTTAATTTGATTTAAATATAAGTCTTTTTATTCTTCGGTTCTGACTGATGAATTGATACGTCTTGTAGACGTATTTGACTCATTAAACATAGTAAACGAGACAGTTTCTTAACATTTCAACGAAGAAAATACATTGTATAAAAGAGAATATGAATTATATTTTAAATAAAAAAAAACCAACAATCATCCATTGAAATACTAGTACCAATAATCGGAGGCTTAGATGTATACAAAATTATTTCAATGCTAATATTATTACTATTATGAAACGCATGTCAGCTAAGAACATGTAAAAATAGATTTATTTACAGTATGCTTGATGTTTTTTTTTCCTCAATTAGGTTATGGTGTCTTTTCTGATTTCTATTCAACAATATTGGACAAAATAAAATTTTATTTACTTTTGTGAAAATATCGAAAATAAATCAATACAAACAATTAAGATATAACAATAGTAATTTCAATAAGTTTTAGTCTATTAAAATTTTATTCTCCCCACTCAACTTTAAAATATGAATTAGATTGATTATTTTTATCAAGTAGAATTTGTTGATTTTTTCAAAAATTGATCTGCATACTATCGTTAGTAGTATCAATAATTAAATGACCTTTAATATAAATATCGATATGTTGAATTTGTTCGATGATTGACCACCAATGAGAAATGAAAATGTCAAGAAATGTTTCAGGCAAAATATGTTTATGATAATTAAAATAAAAATAATTTAAAACAGGCATCATCATATATAAACATTTAAAACAATACGATGTAAAATAACCACTGTCTATTTTAAGTTTGAGAATTTGAAGTTTCGGAAGTATATATAATTGCTTGTCAAATATTGATATTCGATCAAAACTAAAATAAGAACCAGAAATTTCAAGTCGTTTTAATTTTGGTGTATGAATTAAAAATAGATTAATGAACGAATAATTTACATTACTAAGATAAATAAGAAAAAGTTGTTCAATATTACTATTTACATCGAAATGATAATTGATTATTGTTGTTGATTCTCGAAATGTTAACTGACATATACGTAATCTTGGAATAGTTAATATTGTTTTGAATAAGATTCGATCTGGTATACATGTCAAAGACAAATATTCAAGAACATTAAGTTGTTTTAAAGCTTAACAAATCAATGGTATATATTGTATATCTCGTGAACATATTTTAATCGATAAACTTTGTAAGCGAATTAATTTATTAACATGCCAATGAAGAAATTCAAAAAAAAAATTAGATCAAGATTTAACAAGCGATTGAAGATGTATTATACAAGAACAAAAGATAATTAGAAGTAAATATTTGATTAAAATAATTATTTAAATTATGAAATGCATGAAAAAGATTATGTGCTTCCAAATATTGAAAAATCATAAGTCATATTTCAATAGATAATTGTTCTGCGCATGTTTGCATTTTCTCCTTTTTCTTTCACCAATCTAAAATGATTATGGAATATTTAAATAATATTTCAAGTAGATAATCTTTCGTCAATAGTCATTTAAAATGTATGCAAATAAATAGAGGGAGCTCAATCTTTGATTTTTATAATACCAGACATACACATTTATCGAATCATTTATTGAATGCAAGTGTATCTTTATATCTATATCAATAACTCTCATATATAAAATGTACTTCGTTGTACTACATAAGAAAGAGGTAAAAAAACCCATTGCACATTTGTTCACTCTAAAGAGGTGATAATAGCAAGAGAGACTACGAAAAAGTGTTCACTGTTCAGAATATGGAGATGTTCACATTAGAGAGAGTCATTTCAAGCAAAAATCACTCCGTCAAGTCTGAGATCGTTCATAATCTAGTACAGATTTTACTGTATTTATATGATTATTTTTGCTAGAATACGAGAACCTAATCGAACAAACAGTTCGGTATTTACTTGTGAATAATCTGATTGTATCATATATTAACAGATGATTCTATTGTTAATAGTATAATAGACTAAGTTTATTGTATTTGACATCGTCAGTTTTATTTCTATATGGAAATTAGTATATGATTTATTGCTAGAAG